TGTGGGTGGAGAGGCAGTGAGAATCATAAGACTGGACCAAAAATAACATAGCCAGAGGCTATTTTATGTTGTGAAAAATCACATAAGTTTTATGGATAAAAAGGTGACTTATTACCAAGTTACTCATATATATGATTAAAACACAAAGTTTAAAATGCAGAGCAAATGATGATGGCGCTTTGCAAAGATCCTTTGCACGATCCTTTGATTTGTTCCTGCAGATACTGCAATAAATCTTAGAATTAAGTGATTGTGCCTTAGCTTGATCTGAAATACAAAGATTTACCAGGAAATAAACATTTCATATATTTATTCTTTCATGATACTTCTTACCCCCTCGCCTGCTTTGAGACAGAGTCTTGTTTTGTGGCAGAGGTGCAAACATGGCTCACTACAGCCTCAACCCCCCAGGTTCAAGTGATCCTCCTGCCTCAGCATCCCAAGTAGCTGGGATTATACATGTGCACCACCACACCCAGCTAACTTTTGTAGTTTTTGTGGATGGGTTTTTGCCATGTTGCCCAGACGGGCGTGGACCTCCTGGGCCCTAGCAAGCCTCTGCCTCCCAAAGTGTTGAGATTACTAAATTACTGACATGAGCCACCACACCCTGACCCCCTTGCCCCTAATTTTTAAGAAATGAGTTTGCATTTCAAATTATTTTCATGCATGACTTTATATCACAAACTATTTCAGATTTTTATTAAGTTGTTTTTCTCTAGTTTTAAGTAAACCCAAACATTTTCAATTGATTTAAAGCGTCTTGGAATATTTAACAGGTTTGCATAATTGTATTAAATGAAATTTCATGCCATTTCTTATGTCTTATATTACGTAGCTCTGTCTCCTGCACTTGCATTTCCCCAAACATTCTGTTCTTCAATGCCTTCATACATGTTGTCCCTCTGCCTACAAGGTCCAGCTTCTTGTCTGTCTCCAAATTCACTTTGAAGTTCAGTTCACATGCAACTCCTATGAGTCGCCTTCTCTGTTGCTTTCTATAGAGAGCACCGATAGCACTGCGCTTCATTACTGAGTTTTTTCTATATTTATCTTCTCCACCAACCTTGGGAGGACAAGTGTTATAGTGTTCTCTGTAAATTTAAGATCTAGCATAATTTCTAGAACACAAAAAGCACTTAAGGGACCAGGTGCAGTGGGATGCTTGTAATCCCAGCATTTTGGGAGGATGAGGCAGGAGGACTGCTTGAGGCTAGGAGCTCGAGACCAGCCTGGGAACATAGTGAGACTCTACCTGTACAATTTTTTTTTTTTTTTTTTTTAATTAGCTGGGTGTAGTGGCATGCACCTGTAGTCCCAGCTACTTGGGAAGCTGAAGTGGGAGGACTGCTTGAGCCCAGGAGTTCAAAATGGCAGTGGGTTTTGATTGTACCACTGCCCTCCAGCCTGCGCAACAGAGCAAGACACTGTTTCTTGAAAAACAAAACAAAATAGATAGCACTTACGAAATAAATTACTGAATGAAGCAATGAATTGCATTAAATACATCATGGGATCCGATTGGCAGTAGTGAGCAATTGATAAGTCAATTGAAGCCAAAATATAGGTAACAGCTAATTGTAACCGAATGCCTACTATGTACTAGGCACCAGACTAAGCCGTTTCATGGAGGTTTTTTGTTTTGTTTTGCTTTGTTTTAAAATTGATATAGGCTGGGTGTGGGGGCTCATGCCTATAATCCCAGTACTTTGGGAGGCCAGGGCAGGATTGCTTGAGCCCAGGAGTTCGAGACCAGTTTGGGCAACATAGCAAATCCCCTTAACAAAAAAATACAGAAGTTAGCTGAGCATGGTGGCACGTGCCTGTAGTCGCAGCTACTAAGGGAGCTGAGGTTGGAGGATCGCTTAAGCCTGTGAGGTTGAGGCTGTAGTGAGCCAAGATTGAGCCACTGGACTCCAGTCTGGATGACAGCGAGACCGCGTCTCAAAAAAAAAAAATGATATATAACCCACATACCATAAAATTCACCCTTGTAAAGCATTCAATTCAGTGGTTTTTAAAGTATCTTCACAGTTTGACAACCATCATCACTAATTCCAGAATATTTTCAACACTTTAAAAAGAAACCACATACCCATTAGCAGTCACTCCTTATTGCCCCCTCTTCTCAGCCCTTGGCAACCACTAATCTACTTTCCACATGGATTTGCCTATTCTGGATGTTTCATGTGTATGGGAATCACACGATATGTGGCCTTCGATTTCTGCCTAAGCAGAATGTTGCAAGGTTCCCCCATGTAATAGCATGTATCACTACATCATTCCTTCCCATGGCTGATAATATTCCGTTATATGGATATACCACTGTTTATCGATTCACCAGCTTATGGAGATTTGGATGGTTTCCACTTTTGGCCTATTATTAATAATACTGCTATGAACATCTATGCACAAGATTTTGTGTGGGTATATTTTTTACTTCTCTTGGGTATATACTTAAGGAGTGGAATTGCTGGGTCATGTGGTAACTCAATGCTTAACTTTTCGAGCAACTGCCAGACTGTTTTTCGAAGGGGAAGCACCATTGTACATTCTTACTAGCAATCTATGAGGCCTCTAGTTTCTCCACATGCTTATTATGGACCTTATTACCCTTGTTACGGACTTTTTGGTTAGAACCATCCTAGTGAGCATTAATTTCCATTTCCTTAATGTTGAGTGTCTTCCCATGTACTAATTGGCCATCTGTATATCTTTTTTGGAGAAATGTCTATGCAGATCCCTGGCCCATTTTAAAACTGTGTGTATGTTTTTAATTGAGTTGTAAGAGCTCTTTATATACTCTGGATACTAGATTTTCCTTCTTAATCTTCACAATCTCCCTGCTGAAACAGGTAGCTTTTTGTCTCTTTTACAGACAGAGACTAGAGCCTGCAGAATTTTAGTAAGAGGTGTGACTCAATCTAGACCTGTGGTTCTCCAAAGCCTGTGCCCTTTCCTTTATTTTATGCTGCTTCTTGGTGATAGTTTTGACTGATCATGAGATTTAGAGTGGCCACACCAGTGGGTGGTTAATATAAAGATGAATGTCATTAGAATTGACACCAGGATGTCAGAAACATTAACTGATTGCTGAGGTCACTGGTAGTAGTCATTTTTAAGTAAGTTAGAGTATATAATATTTAAGGTCATTTTTAAGTAAGTTGGAGTATACAATATTTAAGGTTCGGCCAGGCATGGTGGCTCACGCGCTTTGGGAGGCTGAGGTGGGTGGATCACGAGGTCAGGAGTTCAAGACCAGCCTGGCCAACATGGTGAAACCCCATCTCTA